CAAGAAGAGGTAATTCGGTGCAGCAGGACACAACGCCGGACTTAACCTTCACCAAGAACGCCAGAGCTACCTGGGATAACCTCGCCGAAGACCTAGGTAGCGACCACTGCATCCTGGAAATTACCGTTGAGAACGAGGCGAAAGCGCCAAGAAAATTCAAAAGCACAGACTGGGACCAGTTCCGTAAAATACTGGAGCAGAAGGGCAATACAGAACTACCATATGAAGCCCTCTTAAATGAATGAAAAATGGCAGCGAATGAGGCCACCAAAGAAGTCGAGACTGATGAATCCATCCAGGTAATGGCCTCTCACTTCGCCAGTTTGCTGCAGAAAAAGCATGACCTAAAAGAAGCGTGGCGTAAAAACAAGCTCAACAGACACTTACGCACAAAAATCGCGGACCTTGGCCGCGAAATCTAATCTCACGCCAAAACACTCTGTGCCCAGCAGTGGAACAACACATGTGACGAAGCAGATGGCAACATGAGGAAGGGAAGCAAATGGGAGCTGCTCAAACACCTTATGGCGGACAGCGACAAACCCACCAGTGGTGGCACCCAGCTGCAATCTGAACGATTGGTGCACAAGCACGCCCAGGATAGTGGTGGATCGCAAGCTCTCCTCAAAACGCTAGGCCAAAAATATCTCCCACTGGAAAGCAAATCAGTAGCCGGAAAAAACAAAAATTCCTCATATGGAGGTCGATCGCAAGGAAAGCTAGACGAACCATTCAGCGAAGCTGAAATACGGTACCCTCTACAACAACTCAATGGCAGATAGGCGCCAGGGCCTGATGGAATCGACAATAGACATCTACGGAATCTAGACGATAAAGCAATTGTAATCATTACTAAGAAGATAAATGAGGCGTGGGAAACGGGTACCGTGCTAAAAAATGGCGTAGTGCCAAGGTTTCGCTCATCCCGAAACCTGGAAAACCGCTGAGCATCGATAACTTAAGGCCCATATCACTCACATCTTGCGTTGGAAAAGTAGCTGAGCATGCAATACTCAACCGTATCACGGACCACATTGAGAACAATGGGCTCTTTCGACACAACATTATTGGCTTGCACAGGGCACTGTCCACACAGGACGCCATGTTGATGTTAAGAGAACACATATGTTACGGCCTCCTTCACACGCCCAAAGCCATATTATCCCTGGACCTCGCCAAGGCCTTTGACACCGTAAAACATGAACACATACTGGGTGAAATATCACACATGAACCTAGGCGAGAAATTCTACAACTACATTAGAGGCTTTCTGGCGAACCAAACCGCCGCCATACGCATAGGAGAGCAATGCGGCGAACCCGAACGACTCGGAAATATTGGCACCCCACGAGGGTCAGTGCTCTCGCCATTGATCTTTAATGTGGCGATGCACAGGTTGTCGAAGAAGCTCACACAAATCCCATCCGTGCACCATGCCATATACGCGGATGATATTACCATATTGGTCCCATGTGGCCACTCATATGGTGCCTTGGAAGGAATTCTTCAACTAGCACTGACTACAACTGAAGAATTTCTTAAGCCAACTGGACTCGCACTGTCCCCCACTAAATCGACTCTAACGCTCTTTCACACCCGACGAAATTCGGGCGAAGAGGAGCAGCAAGTAGAGCTCAAAGTTGAGAACAACCAAACGATACCGCAAGTACATACGGTCAAAGTACTAGGGCTAACGTTAAGCGCCAAGAGGGCCACAACAAAGAAGCACTCAAGCGCCTTGAAAAAAGCACGAACAATTTTTCAAGAGGCCTGCTCTCTTGTTGGCATTTTTCAATCGCCAACAAGAGAGCAGGCCTCCTAGAAGACAACATCATGAAGGCGTATCACGCCTTTCTCGTAAGTCACGTAGCATACGCGTTCTCGTTTCTGAAGTGTACGAAGGCTGAAATCAAAAAGGTCGACTCCATGCTTCGCAAGGAACTGAAAACGGCACTCGGCTTGCCCAATAGCACAAGCAACGAGAAACTCGAGCAACTAGGTCTGCAGAACACAGACGAAGAAATTTTTGAGGCACAGAGAGTGGCACAGATCACACGCCTGTCGTTGACGCAGGCAGGCCATCTCATCCTACGAGACGCAGGCATTTGCCCAATTTTTCAACCAGAGGAAAAAACACAACTTGGAAATGATGTGAGGAAACACATTAGGGTTGAGCCAATCCCCCGCAACGTTCACCCTACGTTCAACAAAGGGCGAAGGAAGGACAGTGCGAGGGAGCTCATAAACAAGGCAAAAAAACACAATACGCACGCGCTATTCGTAGATGCCGCCCGCTACTATGACAGGGAGGCGTTTGCCATTGCGGTCGTTGATATAGACGGAAACCTCATAAACGCGGCAACCGTCCAAACAAGCCATGTCTACGAAGCAGAGGAAATGGCGATCGCGCTAGCCTTGCAAAGCTGCCAAGCCTACTCCACAATATACACAGACTCTAAGACGGCGGCACAAACGTTCGCGGCTGGCCTAGTAGCTAGAAGCACTGGAAAACTCACCGTCAACGTAATAAGAGAGTACGAGAGCAAAGAAATCCTTGTTAAGGACGAGAAAGCTCAAATCTACGTATCCTCGTTCCCAGCCCACATGGGACAGTTACCGGGACTCGACCACTGCAATCCCAACGAAGAGGCCAACCGCCTGGCGCGTGAGCTCACACGCCGTGCCGCGGACAACGACCCCTCGATGAGTGAGCGGTACGAGAATCTCTGCAGCCAGGACAAAGCACTCACATACCACGAGATCACTTCACATCACCGGGGACAAAGACGTGCCTTCCCAGCACCGTACCCAAAACTTAACAAAGCACAAGCTCTAACTCTTAGAAGATTGCAAACACGTACGTACATAACACCATCCACCTTACACAGAGTCGACCCCGACACACCACCCACATGCTCCCTATGCAACCATCCCTATCGCGATTTCGAACACGTGCTCTGGCTGTGCCCTACCCATAGCGCAGCACAACTGAATACCCAAGAGGCTTGGCAGGAAGCCCTCAAGAGCAATCAATACAAGCTGCAACTACAGGCGGTCCAGAGGACCCGGGACATCGCTACAAGCCTTCGGCTACCAGCGCCATCCTGGGTGGAGCCTCCAGGTTGAATTAGGGGCGAATGGCCCTTTCTCAGCCTCCTCAGGATATGTTTAAATAAAGTCAATCTCTCTCTCTTGCGATGTTTGTCAGAGTGCAGTCACAGTTATTTCATTATGACATCCCGAATTTTCAAGGCTGTGGAGTCGCGATGACGTATGGAGTGACGCCGACTGTCACTTTTCATGTTCCATTAGTAATATCAGGGCATCGCTTTACTAACTGAGATCAACTGCCATCGCCAAAAACCCCACTCCCCCTTCTCCTTAATGAATGAATCTTCGACCACGGGGCGAAAAAAAATTCATTGCAAGAAACAACAATCTTGACACATAAATGTCTGACGTTTTAACTTTCGTCTCTGCTTTTTTTTCTGCTGAAATGCAATTTACTCCTAGATTTATTCACGAAAAGAACCAGTCCTTGAATATCTTCAGCAATGCCACTCCAAGTGATATTGCGCCGATTGTTCACATTTTTACCCGGCGTATGACGAGTGAAAAGTATAAACTACCCTACGCCTAATAAGAAAATTGTATTCCCGCCCTGCTACCCCACACGGCCCGAAAAATCAGGAAAATGCCCTACAAGTAGGGTAATTATTTCGCGGTTCACAGTAATAGTCGTATGGTATGAAGAGTATGATGTTAATTCATTGCAAGAATAAATACAGCCCAGATATCGCTTGTATGGCACATTCGCATCAAGCGACGAACATACTTATCTCGGAAAGCATCGACAAAGGTGTTTGTAGTGAACAGGCTCACTATACCAGGAGGAGCCCTCGGTAGCGCTTAAATCGTGAGACGCTCAATATCAGCGGCCAAATATTTAGGGTCTCATTGTAAAAGAAAAAAGGGGCAGTGCCAGAAAAAATACAAAGGACGAGAATAAGACAGGACACGTGCTGTTGTGAGTAGAGCGCATGTTTTGTCTTATTATCGCCCTCTAAATTTGTTGTAGCGCTTCCCCCCTATTACTTTGGTGTAAACCTAAACCAACTTGACCACCTATCTGTGATTCTGTATTGAAGGGTCTCGCCTTGAATTGGACGAAGCTTTCTATGGCAGTGATCTTGCGCTTTAGACAGCATGTCGACTTTCTGACGCCGTTCCGGGAGCACGCTCAGGAGCAGCCATTGGCTTGCCCGCGTAAGCTGCCGGTAAGAACTTTCGCCTTTCACTGTGCGTCCCATTTATCGGCTATGGCAACAATGTGCAAGCGAATTTATAATTGCGAGATTTAACGTCCCAAAACCATGATAGAGTCACTAGAGAAGCCATATGGGAAGGCTCCAAAAGTTTTGATTACCCGGAAATTATTGACGTGCTGTCGAATATAGATACACGAGTCTTTAGCGTTATCGTTTAAAGTGAAAAAGCTGCCGCCACCGCTAGGATTCAATCCCGGTAGTGGCGGGGTCAGTCATTGTGCTGAAATTTTTTTGATCACGGAATGTGAACTATCCTTCTCTCGCACTTTAGTTTCATCAATAGGCATTTTTCATGGGTATACTATGCACCATAAGTAATCACACGCTTCGAAAACTCCTGCGGATTTAGCAGGTTTGTTATTTCAGCAGAACGTGAAATGGTGTAGAAAACTCGCCCAAGACTGTTTAATGAGCCTGAGAGCAATATAGAAAAACCTAGTCAATTATATGAAACATTGCGAGTGTATCTTAGGTATTTTGCCCAGCACTTGTAGTTCAGAGCGTGTCATTTGCACGAATACTTTGCTTGAGCCCTCCTGTATAAAATCAATTTTCTAGTTATCAACAACATTTGTACTTTAGGCAAATAACTGCTTTTCCTCTTTATCTATTTCGGCTTTTCTTGCTCCATGACAACTCTTTAACGAATAAAGAAAAATGGGCAAATCGTACCTTCTATTATCGTTCCGTTTCTCACAAAAAGCTCAACCTGGCCCAAGAAGTGGTGCACAGCTGCGGAAATCACACCGTTAATTTTGTTCTTAATCTCCTCCTCGAAGCGGTGTCGGGTGATAAAGGTGATGAACTCGACCACCAGGTTGCTTTCGTTGAGCTGGTTTGCCCTGAACGTCACCGAGGAGGCACGGGAGATCACGTAATCGACGTGCAGGTTATTTAATATTCCCCTGAAAATGAGGGAAGAAGTACGAATTAAGAGGGTTGAACCGGGAGTGAACAGCATCAAAATAATTTTCGGCTATGCTTTTTCATGGTGGTGCCCTTGGGGCACATTTAGGTAACGTCACCTTGTCCTGATCACTTGCTTTGAGCTGGCCTGCTTAACTCGCTCGGTTGTGTATCTAGGTATACACCTAAATCGGTACAGCAGATTGTGCCCCTATGACGAATATGAGAGTGAGTGAGTGAGTGAAAAATTTATTGACACTGCCTGGCGGTATTTGGCGGGGTAAGGCTATAAGCACCCCAGTCTAGGTTGACGTGTCACCTGTCACATGTGGCGAATGAATGTCTTTATCTACGCGGAAACTTTGAAAACATAAAGAATGCCCCTCCGCGGGGGTCAATCTAGAGGCTAAAGTGCTCGGCCGCTGACCCGCAGGTCGCGGGAACGAATCCCGGCTGCGGCTGCTTCATTTTTGATGGAGGCGAAATTGCTGCATGCCCGCGTGCTCACATTAGGGTGCACGTTAAAGAACCCCAGGTGCTCGAAATTTCCGGAGTTCTCTACTACGGCATCTCTCATAACCATACAGTGGCTTTAGATTGTTAAACTGCACTTATCTATCAATCAAATCAGTTTGAATATGTATTAATCAAGATTAAGACATGACACTCGTGAGAGTTGGCGAGCTCAAAGTAGGAGACAAGCTTTCGCAAAGGTTCTGCACAGACTCTTACTTAACAACCACGCGCTGACACCGCAACAATAAATGCACTACATCAGCAGTTGTGGCAACGGTGCATCTTTAAAGTCTTCTTACAGCAGAGACTATCGGCTATAAAATAAAGCAGTGAGCATGATGTACCTTGGCGGATGCTCTCCTTGGGCCGTTGAGCGCGCGCTACACCTCTATTCGCCGCTGACACACGCGAGCAGACTGAACGGCGGCGCATGTTAGGAAGCTCGCGAAGTCATGTTTTCAGGTGCGGTTAATTTCATTATTGCTTCTCGCAGGCTTTCACAGGAAGGGGAGATGAATACCAACGCGAACATAGCACTGCGCTGTTTTCACAGGGCTGTGAAAACATAGCAGGTTGTCTTCGGTTTCATCATGTACAACTCTACTTTTTTTATGAATAATTCGAGTTGCATCTGCCTAAAAGTAGCTGCAAAACAACAAAGAAGGTAGATACAGTAAGTCCACGTTCTTTCGACACCCTGTGTGTATTCGTCAGGCAGCCTGTCAGGGCATGCTTCCAGTTCGGTTCTTGCATTCGAGTTTGAAAGTATTTGGGGTGTATTTTCTGTTTAAGGCCATTGCCGTCTCATCATTGGCATGCCGCAGGAAGTCATAATGTTGTCTACCATTCTGCATATGAAACGAAAAAAAAATCAGTTTGTACTTTTTTCAATTCTCATTAGTCGCAAGAAAAGAAAGAACTCACAGGTTCCCTTATGAATTTAACCCAGGCGACTGAAAGGTGAAAACCACGTCTTAAATGCAAATAGATTTGTTAGCCGGGCTATGTCGGGCATCCGGCGTTGTTTGCGGTGGTGTCTGCGCGCCGGCAGGTGTTATCTCTGAGCTGTCACTACTTTTCCTATAGCAACAATTGCGGGTGCGTACGCTTATCCTCGCCCATGGATAAGCGCGCTTATCCTCGCCCAGTGCGAGAGAGTGTAGGACCGGGTAGATGTAGTGCTTCGCCGATTTTTATTTCGCCGTTTGCTCTTCCACCTCCTTGCGCCCCACTCTTCCATCCGCTCGCGCCTCACTCGCGACCGTTCATTGGCTGGGCGCCTCTCAAGAACAGCCGGATATGTGTGCTTGAGACGCCGCTATGAAACGCCAACACACCTCCGAGAACGCTGGCGCCCCACTCTACGCCTGATCGCTCCTCATTCTTGACCGTTTGCTGGCTGGGTGCCTCTCAAGGTAATGGCAAAAGTCGGGGAATGCACCTTGGTGAAGGAGAATGTCTGACGGCAACGGTACCCTATCTCGGCGCAAGAAATGCATTCGCATTTCCTCACAATTCTATTCCGAGGTGGCGGCATTTTTTCCCTTCTATTCAATGTATTTAACGTTTCTTGCTTCCCTCTGAGATATTTGTGCACCTAACGGCGTTTCCCTCCTGCATCAAAGATTGAAGATAACGCTTAATTTTTGCGCCTCCGTCCAGCTGCTTACGCACTCTCTGTGATCCGTCCATTTTGACCATGCGAACATGTATTATGATGACGTCACGTTATGTGACTTTCCAATATATCACAAAGTTTTAGGATCTTTCGCGTGTATATTGACGTCTTCACGTAATGATGATTGCTTGCGTCACTCGTGTTGAGGCCGCCTATGTGATCGGCGGACGCCGCCAGCGACCAATTTTTCCGCTTTTGATGAGGCATTTCAGGTTTTCGCCAGCACACTGTATGGTTGTTTCACGAAATTGCAGCTACCGCTGATGTTCGGTGAAGGTGCATGCACTAATTAGGCATTATAATTGGTCTATATTGAGCAGCAGAAGACGTGTATGAGATCTCGCAACTTAATTCTTCAGGATGAAAGTGGAGCGTTGACGGCGGCCTGCGTCCTAGCCACCAGGTGCGAGGACTCCCTCAGGTTCTAGCACGCACCTCCAGCTCCGAGTGCGAGCAGCGCGAGAGGCGGAGCGCTGTTACTAAGATATGATGATGCCAATAATGAAGGTGCTACAGGTCTCTTATACTGAATACGTCTTCAAACTACATCCGAATAAGTAGCTTTTATTTAGAACCCAAATACTTTATAGATTACGTTGTGTGGAGGCTCAAGACTACCTTACTCATTTGCAAGCATGGCAATAGACCTTATTCAAGGCATCTGAGGACCCCCAAATGGTGCGTGGACAACTATGGGTAAAGTGCGTACGCTGCTGTTCTGGCGCGCACGCTGCTCGTTGGTGCCGTGCGATCACGAAACGAAAAAAAAGAAGCACGTCGCTGCTTTCTGGATATTATTGGGGGCGAAACTCCCTATGTCATGGTTCGTGCGTCCGCGATGCATGAAGTGATTGTAGTAGGTAGCCACCTGCACGACCGGACTAGAGGAGCAACCCACGCGCACACTTTTTAATTGCGGAGGAAACCCGCGCACATCAATCTTAAATAAAAAGATAATTGTTTCTGATAAAATAACCTACAGAGACAAGTATTGTTAACTTACTCTTCAATATTATTTGCCTTAAAGGTGATGCTCATAAAAGAAACCATTATCAGAAGACGCACTTTGAGCACTATTTGACCAGAAAGGGTTGCCTACGTTAACCTCACTGGGCGTAACCTCCTTGGTTTTTATCAAGGTTCAGTGAAGTTTGGGCTGCAGTGCCATGGATATATTGAACTAGTATATTCGAAATGCCCACGGCCTATAGGTGGGGCGCCGTGCAATCCAAGATGGCTGTGGAAGGTTGATCAACCCGTGAACTCGCATAAAAAAGATATGACGCACGGAAGTACTCCCCGTGCCAGTTTTCACAGGATGAACTCTCGATTTTCAAATGAATGTATATCGAACCAAAGTACTTTCCCAACTAACAGTAACTGCTGAGTGTTCGCTACCCCAGTTCTTGCCGCAGTGGAAAGGATGGTGGTGTCAGCTGATTGACCGTGTATTAACGTGTATTAACGATGCTTTGCGTAATCCTGTACGCGCTACAAAGAACTGCACGGATCAGAATCCACGTATGAGCTAAACGGCACTCCGAGATCATTTGTGCAGAGCCCTCCTGGCGGGTTTGCCACAGTAGTTGGCCACAAGCAATTAGTGCGCCATCGCGGTTGCATAGAAACGATTGTTTAATGTAGCGATGGTTTGCAAACATATTACGCCGTCTTTACTTGCGCTGTAAGGATCATTTAGCTGCTTCATCAACGCAACACAAGAATTAAACTTCCCATTCTGTAGCACTTGTGTCAGAGCCATGATCCCTAACAGTATCTAATTAGTGCCATGATGAGACTCTAATTCCCTGCACTTTGATGTTGCAGGTTTCATCAGCGCAACTTGAAACAAGGATATCGAAACGAATACACGCACACTCTTTTGAAAAAGTTGCGAAAATTTGTGGAACAACAACGCCGTTCAGACGGCACCAGTGAAGTGCAACAGAAGTTAGCGTGGAAGTGTAGTCGTCACTGCATGTTTCATTGCTCTAACCATTTCGCTTCGCTGGTCGGGCTCGAGTGTGTTGACGGCATGCAGCGCTTTGTAATATCCACAGTATTCGGGATACATTCAATGCACAAGAAAAAGTATGCCTTTATTTTTAGGTCGCTCAAGGATAATATAGAATAAATAAAATCAAAGTGACTTACGATCATGAAAAAAAAAACGCATGACACGACGTCAAGTGCAACTCTCTGGTGGTGAGCTAGCACTGATCATTCATCGTCACTATCACTCTCAGTGCGTTGACAACCATCTACGTCCAGTGAAAAATACTCTACGTCAAGACAGTTTCTTTGAACATCACTGCTCAAAGTGATCTGAAGAATTCTCTCCAACAAACGACTATGAGAGCACCAACAACGTGTTCTTCACCTCGCACAACATCCACAGGCGTCACTAGCCAGGTTTATCTGGAGGCGCGGAGATCATTTTGCTCCAATACCCAGCAAGAAAGGAATCGCTTTCAATGTGCTGCCATCTATCAACAAACGTAGAAAACAAGCGTGCAGCACACGGCCGGGCTAGACTGCACCAGCGCACACGAGACTAAAAAGCCGCCAAAACATCGCCCAATGTTGGCAGTATGAAAACTATTCATGATGGTTACCCTGTGCTACCAAGCAAAACTAGCGCCTTGGAGTATCCAGAAACTCACTAGTTCAAGTGCTACGAGGTTGTGGACTGGTGTTTGGTGGTCGTGGTTGTTGTTGGCAGTCTTGGTAGATTCGAGTGCTGCGAGTTTTGTGTGAGTGAGAGAAATACCGTTTATTTGCACCCGTCTAGAATGACGGGGGAGG